GGATAAACAGATTGCTCAATTTTAATCACAAGTCAGCTGGTTTAAGACTACTTGCCAAGGGCAGATGCATGCCTGAGTAATAGCAGACACAGCAAGAATCTTAACAGCATGGTCTAAAGACATAGAAAGCATATGCTGTTTACAGTCAGAAAAAAAAAACCACTTTCTTTAGGAACCCATACTTCATAGCAGTTTGAGCAAGAAAAGACAAACCTTAAATTCCTTTTCATTCTGTACTGTTACTGATATCAGCACGCTAAACATGCATGTCACTTGTACCAGCATAGATCAAAATGTAATCCCCACCCTCGAAAGCTTTCAAGAGGCTATTTTTGGAAAGTAATATTAATATCTAAATGCCTGGATGCGAGGACAAAAAAAAAGCCTGATGGAATTCTAGAAGACCATGAAGGAGAAGTGGGGGAAGGGCAGGGGAAGACAAGAGAAAACAGCTTGAAGGGATTTAGTGCAAAGACTGCACAGAAGAAATTGTGCAAGCCTCATGAACAGAAAGGGATTCTGCCTCATTTCCATCACTTATGACACAATCCTGGCCAGCTAAAAACCTTTTCTATTCTTAAATCTCATTTCAAAATGTTTTTCACAGGTAGTCACTACTTCACATTCATTGTTTTCTACACAGTTGGCTTGAGAGCAGAGTTTAATTTCAGATACACTAAGTATTCATCTACAACTAAATTCAACAGGATCTTCACTTACAATGAAATGCTGCAGTGCACCAAATATTTCATAAAAACATAGACCCTACATATCACTAACTAGGATCTCAAGGAAACCAAAGAACCCTGAACTATCAAAATCTTGTTGAAAATTCCTTATCTGATAAATGGAACTCTACTATGTTTGTTAAGCAGTCACATAATTGTGGAGTTTTCCTTATTTATTATCACTTTAAGATACTTGCCAGCTTTTGCAAAACAGGGTTTGAACAAAATAAAACCAATGCACACACAGTATACTGAACATCTTTGTACTGAGCGAGTACTATCCACCCTGAACAACAAGTGAAGGGTGAAAGTTACACACGTTGCCTAATTTCTCACACGTAGGTGCAAATTAAATTTGTGGAAATAAACTCCAATTATGTTATTATTACTCTTAAAGTTCTCTTATTTGCAGCATCCACATGTTGAAGATACTCCTTCCCTCATTTGTTTCTGGAAACAAGCCATGCCTTCACATTGAATTTCACCATGAGCTCTACCCTTCAGATGCTAGTTTTTCTTCCTTCTTAAACTTTTCCAAACCACCTCTATTCTGTTTAATCACTGACACTAGTTTCTCAGGCAAAGCCTGACCTCCTTTCTACCTCATCAAGTTGAAGAACGGACTACTCCGAGAGAAAGTCAAGATTGTATATGTTATTCTCACTGACTTCCTAAAGGTGCTGCAACTCTCCAGGTTGTTGAGAAATGAAGCTACATAATCACCCCCCCACTGCTGTCATAGCAATCTTCACTCATGTAGTCTATCGCCTGGAATTCAGACATTATCAGCATAGGAAGCACAGAACACCCTGAAGATAGCGTATCCGTCTTTTATCACTTGCCATCTGCCAACATATAGTTACATTTTCAAAAGAAAATCCTTTCCAAAGGTCTCTAACAGCCATGGATTTGCAGTCAGTCCTTACACAGCTGAGGATACATTTTCCACACCCAGTCATAATTTAAGGGTGTATAACGAAACAGACGTTTCCCTATGCTCCCACGTCTGTGCTATTAATTATGCCAGAACATGCCCATGTGCCTTTTCTACTTATCTTTTAGTCAAGTCACAGCAAGGCCAGAACACATCACAAGGTGAGCTTACTCTCATGCTTCATTATTCTGCATCAGATATGCTCTATCTGAACATAACAGGTAAAAGGCAGGCAAGAAATCTGTATGGGAAATGAAAACAAATAACGACAGTTCTGCCTATACCAGTGTGCATGACAGCATACCAACGCATGTGACTGATGCAAGCAACCAATTTCTACTTTGCAGTTTAATGATTTTTCAGAATCACCCCTTTGCCAGAGCTCAGGAAGCAAAAAAATAAAAGCAACCCACCCTTGAAATCCTTAAATGAGGGTACAAGATGGAATTGTCACATTCAGCCCTGCTAACAACTGTCTGTATCCTTCATCTAAACTCAAGGTGCTGATGCAGCAGCAAGTGACTGAAAAACAGATTATCCCAGCTACAGGACTCAGTAGCCTTTACTCTCACATGGCCCAGAATACCTGCCTTTATACAGTGAGATGAGAGTCCTGGGATCCACTCCCCATCTCTCAGAGGATGCAGAGGACTCACCATAAACATGCCATTTTCATCACAAAAATGTTGTCAGTAGCAAACAAAATGTAACTTCTAAGCCATATTTCTTGCGTGTTCACAGCTACCAGGCAAATCAGGTAGCTCAAAGAAATGTCCAGTTTACCGAGGAAGCACTTCCTCCCCATCTTGTTCCTGCTGCCCACAATTCCCTTCCTTGTGGCCAAAGCACCAAAGTTTTCTGGCTTTCCTAGGCACTCCTTGCATTTTCACTCCTCCCCCAGAAGTGTGCACCCACAGTCATGAAAGGAAATTTCAGACCCAGCCCTAAGAATCATGCTCTTCTGGATGGCAAGTTTTACAATCAGGTGATGTGATTAATGCTAGCAGCTCAATATCAAAACAGCAGTGGCAAACACCAGGCTCGCTCCCAGTTTATTGTTGTTTGTCTTTAGATGTGCGAAACCAAGGCTAAACTTTGGAAAATTAAGAGAGATCTGATCATGTTGAATTCACTTACAAAGCCAAAAGGGTGATCTGCTGCCTCACCCCTTGCTCAGTTGCTATTAACCAGTCAATGCAAAATCTCACCCTACCAGCCAGCACAACTTCACTGAGTAGTGCTGAATGTTTTATTTGTTTATATAGTGAGCACCTGAGGGGAAACATCACATCCAGTGGTTTATTGGTTAATGAAAATCATAGCAGGCTAACACTAGTCTCTCCTACCCTGACTTCCCAAGTACTAAACAACAACATTAAAAAAGTCAACAGATAACTTTTATCACACAGCAAGCAGAAGTGCAACGAAGCAGATAGGCAACAAGCCATCTTGTGACATTTAACAGTCACCTCAATTTTAAGCTGTACATTTTGAAGGGGGGGGGAGGGCGGCACAGGACCGAACAACAACAGGTAATCAAATGACAGATCACATCTCCTAGGCAAAAACTCCTTCATAAACATTTACTGTAATTCAAAATCAAGGTTATTGGCCAGACTGTCTTATACAATGGAATGATTAAACACTAGTTAAAGGACAAACACACTGAAACCACTTTATCTAGTGTGGTTGCTGCTGCATTATGAACAGGGGGGTGAAGTCATCATTAGTCTTTGTCTACTTTAGATTATTAAGCCCTATAGGATAAGGTAGAGAGCAGAAAGGAAGGGAATGGTTATCAAGGATATTTTGCGAGAAAACACATAAGCAATATTTTGTCTCTACTGATGAGAAGTGCAGTATTCTGGACCTCTCCCTCCCCAAACATACTTGGCATCAGCTTAATTCTGCTCCCCAAAACCTAAGAGAACAGAGAGCTGCTCTGCATTGACTCACACAGACCTTGAATTTAATAAAAACCTGGAATCTCCATTAGCATTATTATTATCCAAACTTTTCCCCTAATGATAAAGCTTTTGATTAATTCCTGCAGGACAGGTTTTCCACCCGTACTGTAATAGGAAGTCACAGCCAAACACATCGGCTAAGGAATGCTGTCTCAAAGGCAGCAGGACAATTTGTCTTACCCGCCAGTGATAAAACCCAGTCTCTTTCCTCTCCTTCCTTTGGAAAAGCACAGCTGCCAGAAAAGGCAGCACTCTGGGTGGAAATGGGCCCCGCAGCACCTCATGGAACATGGGAAAAATGTCCCGTTGTCTCCGCAGAAAACCTGACAGGGAAATGCAGAAAATAGTCCCCAGACACCTGGCTGCGAAAGGCTGCTTGCCACAGGCTGAGTCTGAAGTTTTGCGCAGGACTGGGCTGTGCTCCAGTTGCGAGAAGCAGAGGTGTGGCCTGGGCTTGCCAAACAACTCAGTTCAAAACCTCGCTGGCAGGTTTTTCAAATACTAGTAGAAGATAACTGCAGCAAAGCAGCACCAAACAGGGAAGCCCTGGGTAGGGGGAAGCACCACTGATTAAGCCACAACCTCAAAACCCCCAGTCCAGATTTCTTTAAAGAGTTCCAGCCACCTGATCTAAGACTTTGGCCATTTTAAACCCTTTGAGAGGAGGAAATTCCCCTCTTACAAGCCTGAAGCAAAGCCATATTTGTCATTGACTGTAGCTGTTCAGAGAAGTTTCACGGAGGTCTGAGTGGAAACACCATGATTTGGTCTGCATTAGGATGCCTCAGAGTATCGATTCACCACCATGTCTCATTTCCAAGCACAGTCTTGATTCTTCCACCAAAGGGTTTTGAAAAATTATACAACCGATAGGGCAGATTTTTTATGAGTCCATTGTGCCTTAAAAAAATATTTAAGTAGTAAAGGAAACTGGTTACTGGAAGTGATCAGTTTATTAACAGCTGTTGACAGCTGCTTGTCTGGAGCTTTTTATTGCAGAGCTTAAACTGAAGCAGAAGACCAAAAAAAAAAACCAAACTTAAGTGTTTCAACAATTAGAAAGTGGCTGAGAATGTATGAAAGCTAGTAATGCTGCATGTCACCAGCTCCACACAAACATGAGAATGTGACACATTCTCAGCGAGGTCGCATTCATTAATCATTTCCTGTCATTAGTGTCAGTCACTAGATCAGAATTTAAGAAAATTAATAAAAGCACAGGCACTAACATTTAGAACGCAAACAAGTCAGTACTAGTTAGTGAATACAGACTCACAGACAACACACAGGCAAAAAGCAAACATAACACCATTGCAAAACAGCCAGCAACTGCTGAAAAGGTCTCATGTGGTACTAAATGGTATGGTAGACACTGGGCTGAAAAAGCAATTTTCGACATACTGCTGCATTGAAAGTGGAGGACTGTCATCTTAGCCTTCATTTATCATTGAAAAATTGCAGAACCAGGTGTGGTTTGGGGTTTTTTTTTTAGTATTTAATCTCATATAGCGCAACTATAAATTACAAGAAAATTGAGGCAGCCTCACACAGTAAGCTAACATGGAGAAGTCACACTCTGAACAGTTTATTACAGGTAGTATACAAAGCCTATATTTTATCTTGTGAGTGTCCAATTGCATTTAAAACCAGGCTTACCTGCCTTCTCCTGAAGTTCTCGCTCTTCTTCCAATGAAATCTCAGCACAGGATCTCAAGTTCATAGAATTTCTCTCTCAAGAAAAACTGAAACTAGAACATATGCTTAAGAATTGTTTCATAGTCAACAGGTCACCCATTAACAAACAGCGTTTGCATGCAGTTTTAGCTATCTACAGACACTGTTGACAGCTAAGTTAATATCCAAAGAGAAGCTACTTGCTCTTGTCATTTCCAAGCAGACCAGGAAAACGAGCAAGAAGAACAGCATCAAAACATGAGGCAACAAAGATGGCCTCACAGCCAATAACTTTACTTCTGCTTGAATTAGCATCCCCATAGCAGTCAAGGTAGATGTGTATCTACATCTCATTCAGTTATTTTTTTGTCAGCAACCATGAACAAATGGCACCATCACCAGCTATACCATATAGTACTTAAAATCTGCATAGATATCACAAGGGACTCCTTTTGCTCCCATTAGCAGCACTAAGAAGAGTTGAGATGCAGCGCATAATTAGAAGAGCTGAAGATGCCAAAGGATGCTACCAAGATTTTGACTGGGGGGGCTTTTTGGTGGGTTGATCTTCTCCAGAAACACCAATATACTCAATTGCCCAACACTGAGACAAAAGACTCTTCTTCAGCGCTGATATCTTCCACTTCCCATTACAGAATGGGAAAACTGAAGATATATACTCTGCTTCCAACACAAGACTAGTCTATGACCTACAATTCTGTAGCAACTGCAAATCTGTGAATCTAAACATTTCCTGATTTGGTCACACAGAGTTTAGCATCCCTCCCCACCACAAAATAGCATACCACCACTGAAAAAAAAATTGTCAGTAATTTTAGTGTTCACTAGTAAGTGCATATTTAATGGTATAAGACTTTCAAAAATGTTATTATTCAAAGAGAGAATACAAAAGTGGCTTTAGCAGGATTCTGAAAACATTCACAAGCATACTACAAACTTGCAGATTTAAAAAACAAAGTTGAGAAGTGATGACAGCTCTCATACGACATGGCCTCATTTGAATTACACATATTAAAGTAGGAGTGACACTGGGAGCCCCTACATTGGGTCTCACTTCCAGAAGAAAGTAAGGACTAATATATCAAAAAGAAAACAAACTACAGCAGTCTAGAGAAGCTTAACTGCACAATGACTGAAACACACACTGGTTCACAATATTTATTACAATCTATTGCTTTAGATAAACCTGCTGTATGGTTAGTAAACCCAAAACACATTATAAGAACCAACAACAAAAAAAAGTTACAGCACAAACCACATCTCTGTAAAGGTATGCAATGGAGGTGAACAGAGGTACAACCTTAACTGTGTAAGTAAGAGCACAATGAAGATCCTCATATGTGAATACAGCTCTCCTGCTGGCAGATAATAAAGGTAACTAAAAATCGGACTAACAGTACCAAACATAAGATAGGTAAAAATCAGAGAAATATTGTTGTAACTGCATACAAAGATTACAGGGCCTTTTTAAATACCCTTCTTTCCTTCTCAATGACCTGTAAACACAACTCTCCCAAACCCTCTTCCCTCTGTACCTGAACTAGTATATAAAGATCTATACAGAATGTGCAAATCCAATATAAGTATTTTTAGGCTCTCTTCTTCAAATAGAAGAAATACAAGGTAAAAAACATTAACACCACAGATTCCCTCTACCCAGCCTTTGCAGAAAGAAATCAGTAGCAATATTGCCCAAGACATCCAAGTACAGAAGCAGCAAAACACTGGACCAAGAAATCCATAAGAACGCGTGGCATGTGAACAATAAATACAAATACATGTAAAAAGGGAAAACACAAACGTTTATCGAGGCAAACTATTAACACTGGCAAATGGAAGTGAATTAGGACTCTTGTCAGCCTACAGTAGATCTGTTCCTTAAAAAACCATAATAATAGCTTAAGTAAACCTACGATGTTAACTGAGATCCAATTACACCTTAGGCAGACAGGCTTTATTCATCTACTTGTTTGTTCAGAGGTGATATCTGGTAGTTACATGCCATGCTCCATACTATTTAATAACTACATATTTGTAAGTACTGCTAGTCCTGGATGTTGGGAGTCAAACAGCTACACCATTGGGTTATTTGCTACTGCTGCCTTTTCATTATCACTGCACAGATTGTTTCTGCACCAATCAAACATTTTAATATCCCTCATACCAATCCGCTATAGATTAAAGTTTGTGGAAAAATAAGTTAGACAAAAATATTACAGCCTACAAGGAGCACGGTACAATCTAGTTCTTGTAGTTAAGACTTCTGGCCCAAGAGTAACTTAAGAACAGTACCAGCCTGAGCAGAATCCAGTTCTACAGCATTTAAAACAGTGAGATGTTGAAATAGTCTGGATTTTACTTCAATGCTGGAAAGTGAACCAGAGACCAAAGAACTTATATACACAAATGTCAAATGTAGTCTAGAAGCTCAAGCAGTAACTATAGTTCACTCCCTTCAGAAGTTGCTTTACAGGGTTTCCTTTGCTTTTTGGTATGAGTGCAGATGTGAACAACTTAGAATAGTCTCTGAGCTTCCACTCATGCTAAGAGCGAACATATTCAGTGCAAACACAAGTTAATTTAACTTACAGCTCGCAAGTAAAAAGAAAAAAAATGCTTACTAGTGGTATCTACTGTTTGTCTATCTCCTGTGGAAATTCATGTCAGGAGGTCAGATGATAACACTAAGTATCAATAAAAAGATTCCTTTGGCCAGCACTTAAACAGTCCTGTTACTGAGATGAAAGTAAAACTGTATTTTCTAGGTGTAGAAATAGGCACAGAAGGCTCTGTGCCAAACAGCTGGTGATCTCCATGCAATACTGATACAGCTGCAAAGACTTCAAAAAAAGAAAATTCCTTTAAAGAATTATTTACATACAAGGCCAAATCGCAACATTGTTACCCTAAGGAGGTAAGTTTCAAAGTAAAACTTGGCTTGTGGTGAACGCCCAACAGATGTCTAACAACTCATTCGCGAGGTTGGAGTGCAATACAAAACTCACTACAAAAATCAGGTTCTAGTCTTCATCTGAGTACTGAGAGGTTCAGTGTAGTTGCCAGTGCTATAACAACACGGTTAAAGTCATTTCCTAGTAAATCAACATTGCCAGACAGGTACACTTGGGTCCATAGATACAAATGGCTTCTACTCATTGTAAGAGAACCTAGCAACATGCCTCATAAATCTGAGAGGCACCAACTTCTTAAGTCGTCAGTTCAGAATTTCACATGAATGTTGGGATTATTGACCACAACAAGGTCAGGTGTCCAGTGTGTTGACTTCTTTGGAGCAGAAATAATGCACAACTATTGCATTAGGGTATCGAGCAAATGCACTGCAAAGACAGAACACAAAAATCAACTGTCAATACAGACGAACAGTTTCCCCTATTCAAACAAGAACACACAAGTTGTGCAGAAACAGAAAAAGATGATTACAGGAAAGTGACACTGTTGTTTAAATTACAGCCTGAATATATTCTTGAGAAAACCAGACAAAAGAATTCTACGGATTTTGAAGAGTTTCATTTTAAAAAAAGGTATCTATTTTCATTTCTGTAGGCACACTTTACTTGGAAGTCACTAGTAACAAGTTAAAGACTGGGTGACATGTTTGCCCTTCAAAACCTTGTTGAAGTTAACAGCCTTAGAAAAATACTAGACAACCAAAACAATACTGCATAACACAAATATAAATTCTGATGCTACATGCTAACAGCAAAAAATTGAATATGCACAGTACTAAGTATATTTAGACCTATGCCTATTGAAACATTTTGGAAAAAAACCCCTTTCTCTATGATTGTGAATGCTGCCAATATCTCAGAAGGGTTCAGACCAACAAGAGAAACAGTAAGTCACATGACATTTCACTAGAGTTCAAAGAGGAAAAAGAAAAAGCACAAATAAAATTC